GAAACCCCTCCTCCCCTTTAGGGAGTGGAGGGCCTCTGGGTACACCCATGCTAACCGAGCTTTCTGTGTTATTAAATTTCTGCCTCTCAGGGGCCAAAGTTTGATCCCAGAAGGCCTCTGTCACATTCTGTGGCTTTCCACTTCCCCGCCTCCATCTTCCCCATCCTCCATGTCGCTCTTTCCTTAAGACGATGGCATGGGCAGGGGCTGCCCTTCCTGATGGGTGGCATAGGGTCTTGGGGAAGAAATGAACACCTCCCCTCCCTTGCCCTCAACCACCAAGGCTGCGCATTAATGCTGCCAGTGCTGCTGATAGATGTCTTAGAGCCACAGGGTGGAGACCGTCCATTGTGCCAGAGAGGGGAAGTCACTTCCCCAAGCTCACACAGCCAGGTAGTGACAGACACAAGCCACCCAACACCTCATCCCATATTCTTTCCTCTCTCTGCCCTGTCTCCTGGATGCCAGCTTCATGTTTGTAAAGCGCCTTCTCCTGGACCAAGCCCTGTGCTGTACTCTGTCCTGTTTTGGGGTGCAGTAGGGCTGTCTGTGGAAGAAAGCTGTATCCCTCCCTGGTCAGGTGCTCTTGAGGCAGATCTGAGGTCCGTTAGGAAACTCGGTGAAGAGGCCCACCTGTGTCTGAGATGTTGCAGGCACGAGAGGGGAAAGCAAGAAGGCAACCTAGGTAGGAAGACATGGGTGTGGTCCTGGGTCTGTCGCTGCAGAGGCGGTCCCTCCACACTTCCTGGTCTTCATGGCAGCCCCACAGTCATGTGTTCACTGCACTCCAGCCTTGTCAGCCCCGCTCCAGTGCCTTCTCCCCCTTCTCCAGGAGGCCTTCCTGAGAAGTGACCTGCCTGTACGTCCTTTTGGCACTTACCACCGTCGGCCATTTGTATTGCAATTTCTGTCCATGTCTTATCTCCCTTCCTGGACTGTTGGCTTCTTGAGGACAGGATACATGTATGTTTCATGCCTATGTCTCCAGTGCCCAGGAAAGGGGTTGGTATTCAGCAGATATGTAATGAATATTTGCTGAATAAAATAAATGATGGTGGTAGTGAGTGACAGAGAATGGTGGTGGGCGTTTGTAGTAAACAGTGATTTATCACAATGATAGATGGTGGAAGATAGATGGTGGTAAATACTAGTGAGGAACAGTAGATGGTAGTTGGTGGTGGTCAGGCAGAGAGGTTATGGGTGAAGGACAATGGTAGGTAGTGGTGGCGGGAGGTGAGAGTCAAGGACAGTGGTAGATGGTGGTGGTGGGAGGTGATGGGTGAATGATGAGGGTAGATGTGGTGATAGGAGGGGACGGTGGAAGATGATGGTAGATGATGGTGATGGGTGAAGGATGAGGGTAGATGGCAGTGCTGGGAGGTGACGGATGAACGATGAGGGAAGATGGTGGTGATGGGATGGTGGAAGATGATGGTAGATGATGGTGATGGGTGAAGGATGAGGGTAGATGGCAGTGCTGGGAGGTGACGGGTGAATGAGGAGGGAAGATGGTGGTGATGGGATGGTGGAGGATGATGGTAGATGATGGTGATGGGTGAAGGATGAGGGTAGATGGCAGTGCTGGGAGGTGATGGGTGAAGGGTGATGGTACATGGTGGTGAATAGTGAAGTGGGAATGGCAATAGATGGTAGCAGGAAAAGGATGGTGGCAAAACGTGGTGGTGGTGTGTGGCAATGATGGTGGAAATACTGGGCAGTGGAGTGACTTCTGCTTATGCACCAGCCCTCTGCCCTTCCCTAGGGGAGCCTGGTCCAGCTCTTGGACTGCCAAGTTCTCTGACACTGTGGCTTGTTCCTTTGCAGACTCCATCGGGGGCCCCTTCCCTGTCACCTCTCACCGATGCCACCACAAGCAGAAGCACTGCCCCCCGGTGCTGCCCGGCGGGGGGCTCCCAGCCACGCCGCTGCTCTTCCACCCACACACCAAGGGCTCCCAGATCCTCATGGACCTCAGCCACAAGGCCGTTAAGAGGCAGGCCAGCTTCTGCAATGCCATCACCTTCAGTAACCGCCCAGTCCTCATCTACGAGCAAGTCAGGCTGAAGGTGGGGCCTCCCTCCCTGCTCTCCATCACTGTATCCCCCTGGGCCTCTGAGCTTTCTCCCCCAGGCACTGCCTTCTGCCACAGCCATTACTACACACTGGCCCCTTCTCTTTCTCTCTGCTGCCATTTCTACTCTTGCTAGTCTCTCCTCTTTCTCTTCCCTCTTCCTTACTCCTTTCTCAACCTTCCCTGTGTGACAAAGAAGGAACGGGGGAGGGGAGTGGCCATGGGGCCCAGTAGCTCTCACCAGACTGGTGGGAGGGCTCCTGGGGGAGGGAAAGGAGCCTGAGTGGTGGGTGATCCGGGGTGATGTGACTCCCATGGGAGGGGGTCTGCGGAGAAGGGCGCGCTCCCGTCCCCTGGGGCTCCCTGAGAGGGAGCGAGAGGCTGTCTGAGGCCAGCTGCCTTCCGCCCAGATCACCAAGAAGCAGTGCTGCTGGAGCGGGGCTCTGCGCCTGGGCTTCACGAGCAAGGACCCCTCCCGCATCCACCCCGACTCGCTGCCCAAGTACGCCTGCCCCGACCTGGTGTCCCAGAGCGGCTTCTGGGCCAAGGCGCTGCCCGAGGAGTTTGCCAACGAGGGCAACATCATCGCCTTCTGGGTGGACAAGAAGGGCCGTGTGTTCTACCGCATCAACGACTCGGCTGCCATGCTCTTCTTCAACGGGGTCCGCACGGCCGACCCGCTCTGGGCCCTGGTGGACGTCTACGGCCTCACGCGGGGCGTCCAGCTGCTCGGTGAGTGTCCGCCCTCCCGGTTAGGTGCCGGCCCGCCTCCAGGCCCTCTGGTCCCACATGCTGGATCCCATCAGGCATGGGAGCCCCTCTGCCACTGGGAGCAGCCCCAGGGCCAAGCGGCCCCCGGGCAGCTCGGGGGCCTTTGTGTGAGCTGCAGAACGCCCCTTCCTCCAGGCCACAGCTGTGGCGGGTGGTGCCTGGGCGGGATTTCTGCCCTCCGCGGACCCTCAGGTTGTGGCTTTCAGCATAAACGGAGCCTCGAAGCCCCCCCACCCCCAGGAAGTAGTGAATATGAATCATTGTAACCATGGGTTAGAGAGCACTCACTACCTGCTAGGCACTTCGATGTGGCCGTTCTTGTAGCAACCCTGGCAGGCAGACTCCATTACTGGGCCCAGTAATGGAGGCGAGACTCAAGCTCGGGAAGGTTGAGTCATTGGCCCCAGGAGACATAGTGGGTGAGTGGTAGAGCCAGCACTCAGTCCCAAGTGAGCCTGTGGCCCCTGGGCTCTGCAGCCAATCCTAGCCTAGTGCTTTCTGCAGGGATGTGGGCAAAACAGGGAAGAGGGGAGAGCAGAAGGCACTAGGGGGGCTAAGACTTTTCTGGCTGCTCCCAGCCCCTGGTGTGAGTAAGGCTGCTCAGGGGAGTGAGAGGGCAGACATCCTGTTGGGGACGAGGAGGAGCACTGGCAGGTAGCCCGGAGCTGCTGAGTACCAGGCCTCCCAGCCAGGGCGCATGTGGACCCTAAGATGTCAGGGCTGGAAGGGGCCTCAGAGAGTCTGTGATTTCCTAGGGTCACACAGTGAGTTGGTGGCTTAGCTGGGACTAGCATTCAGGTCACCTGACTCCCGGTCCAGGATCCCTCTCACCTTGCTACACTGTGCGCATGCAGGCAAGTGTGTATGTGTGTGCATACATAGACTCTGGGTGCCAATCAGCCTATTGGCAAATTGGCTGTGTCTCCAGGCAGAGCCTGCACGAGCCTCAGCTTTCCCATCTGTAAAGTGGGTTGGTGGGAAGATTAAATTAAAGGGGCCGTGAGTAAAATGCCCAGCACGGTCCTGGGTATCAAGTTGGCGCTCAACCAATGCTTGTCCTTCCTGTCTGCCATCCCTGCCCCTCTCCCCAGAGAGAAAAATGTCATAGGGGTGGTTGAAAAAGTTTTTTTCTTTTCTGACTTCAGAGCCTAGAAACGGTGAAGCTCTTCTTTTCAAAACACCTTTATTTGAGTAGAAAAGATAGTGCAAGAGAAGCAAAGAAATGAATAATCATCAGAAGCCTTTCTGTTTGCTGAGTTCTAAGCATCAGGAGGCTGTTTTTATTAATTAATAGTTGGTGTGCTTTCTGTTTTTCAACTCAATGAAAGTGTTTCTGTATTCGCATGGACGTGTTAAGAGGCTGAAGCCAGGCTCTTCCGGGTCTCAGCAAGTCAGGAAGGGAGCCCCTGCTGCCCAGGATGAATGCTTTCCGTTCCCTCTGAAATGGGTGTGCCTGCAGGGCCTCTGCCGGCCGGAGGCAGAAAGGCCAGAGTTACGCTACTGGACGACAGAGTCAGACAGATCCTGGTCGGATCCTGGCCTCACCCTGGACTAGCTACGGGACCTCAGATCCTCATCTGAAAATGGGGGTAATAATCGCTGTTCTCAGGGTTCTTTTGAAGGCTCAGGCAGCTGGGTTTCGTGAAGCAGCTTACACACAGTAGGTACGCAGTGATGGGCACTCATCCCCACCCATCCTGGAGAGGGCGATGCTTAAACCCAGGCTCAAGTCAGCACCTCCCACTGCTCAGACATCCTCAGGGCCCCGTACTTCAAGGCACTGGGCTCCCAAAGCTTGAGTTTGAGCTCCAGCTTGCACACTTCTATCTGAGCCTCGGTCTTCTCGTCTGTGAAGTGGTTGGTTGTGAGTCCTATGCCTTAGCCCAGGGCTCGGCCACATGGTGGGAGACAGAAGGATGTCTCTGCTCTTAAGAAAGTCACAGTCTTGTTGAAGGGAGAGGGGTAAAGGAAGTGGGGGCAATATTCTTGCTTTTCTCTAAGCAAAAAATGCCCTTCCCCCCAGTCCCCAAAGGTCAAAATCCCACTCAGACTTCAAGGCCCAGCTTAAAAGCCACCTCCTCCCTGAAGCCTTCCGGGGCTGAATTCTTTTCTCTGTCCCTTCTGTCCCACCGCCTGGTGCCTGCTCTCCTCTCCGCACTGCGCATTGGCCAAGCCTTGGTCCATCCACATGTCTGTTTCTGCACAAGCTGGGGAGGGCTTTGAGGGAGGAGTCCGTGTCTTCCCCAGCCAGGTTCCTCTCCGGAGCACAATCCTGTGCCTGGCGTGTGGAGGACACCAAGGAGTACGTGTAGGGTGGGTGAGGGAGGGTAGGGATGGCTGGATGACTTGTTAGAGGAAGGAAAGTAGGGGCGACTGGGGTAGATCCAGGCCTGCTCATAGCCAGTGCCAGGCTCCCTGGGAAATTAGGGACACAAAGCAAACACTCCAGTCACAATCAGGGCATAACCCAAGGGAAGACAGCAAATTGTTTAACGCTGTGGTCATAGGATCCCTTCCATCTGCCGAGACGGTTTCCATCCAGTTATCTCATTTAACCTCTCAGCAGCTGGCTCTGGATGGAGGGTTTTTCATCCCCATTTGGCAAGGAGGAAATTGAGGCCCCTGGAAGGCCTGACCTGCCTGCATAGGGATTCGGCAGAGCTGGGACTGGAACTGGGTGTTCTGATACCAAAGGCAGTGCCTTCCCCTTTACCTGTTGGCAGGTGTAAGCGTGAAGGGAGGCAGGAAGTCAGAGGCGACCGAGGTCAGTGAGGGAGGATGGAGTCCAGGAGGGCTTCTTGGAAGAGGGGGCAGACACTGGGCCTACAAGTTCCAGGAGGGTCTAGAGGTGTGTGGGGATAAAGGGGTCATTCCAGGGGAGATGAGGCTTCCAAAGCTCAGGGGATGAAGGAGGGGCCTGGAGAGGAGTCGGAAGGGCCTCCCCCTGGGGCAGAGCCGGGCGGCTGACCCGGCCTGGCCCCGTCCCCCTCTTTGACTATACATGGGTTTTCACGCGGTGTTTCCAGTTGCATCTGGACTTCCCCGCAGGCCCCTCTGTACACCCGATAAGGCCGAGGCCGCGGCTGATTCCCGTCCCAGCCGTAAATCACCATAATCCCTGGGCATTTTCAAACACTGATTATGGCCCCTAAATTCAATTAGCAGATTAAAATGTCTCTTCGTTTTGTTCTTCCTAAATCGATCCAGCCAGCTACCTTTGGAAGCGGGCATGCTGCTCTGTGCCCTGGTTCGGAGCCCCTGCCCTCTGGGAGCCGCCTGCTGCCCTAAATCGTCCCAGGGTCCGTTTTCTTCCCTCTCCCCTTCCCCCTCCCGCCTGTGCTTCGCTGCATCTGTGTCTCTCCCTCCACCCAGGTCCCTCCAGCCCCTCCGGCCTCCCCTGGTCTCCCTCCCCGGCTGCTGCCTTTGACTTTCTCCTCTGAAGAAGTCGCTCTCTGTCTTGGGGGCTCTGAGGAGGGGCCTGTCTTTCCTGGGGTGATTGTCCCCCAAACCAGTGTCTCCTCTTTAGAGATTTCCTGCCAGGCCTGCCCGCTCCCCTCCTGTCTCTGTCTGGACCCTGTGGGCAAAGCCTTTCAAACCCCACCTGGCCAGTGTCTGCTCCTCAGAGCAGAGACATCCTGGGGTACCTGGCACATAGTAGGTTTGCAAGTCAGGCCATGGATGGATTGGCCCTCTCCCCCAACAGAGTGGAGGCAGGGGCTGGTGTCTCTCCCTGGTTGACACCTCCAGGCAGGTGCCCCGTCCCCTCCCCCGACTGCCCTAACCATAACCCATGCCCCCTGGGCCCACGCCACGGCCCCAGCAGGCCTGCTTCAGGCCTTCCACGCTCCCCGTTCTGCTGGAGTTCACCAGATCACCCTCGTCCCTCGGAGCACCCTGGCCCAAGCCCGGGCTGGTATCTCCAAGAATAACAGCTTCCTACCTCCAGGAAGAAGGACCTGCCAGCAACTAAATAAATACAAGTTTTATGGGGTGATTAATACTTGAGAGATAAGCTCCTATCCCAGTTTTTCAAGGTCTCCCTGCTCTTCTCAGAAATGTTGGCTCAGGAAGAGTGGCTGTGGGTCCTGGCAGAAAGCTGGTGAGCCAAGACTCCATTTATAGGGTGCTCCTGAGCACCCCTCTGTGCCCACCACAGCCTAGGCACCAAGCAGGGGTTGGGGGAGACACAAGAATGGGAAACCCACCCCTCTCCTTGCAGGAAGACACTGCAGCACACACCATTAACTGCTCTAAGGTGACCTAAATCCACTTCTGCAGTCAAGCGTGCTGAAGAGTAAAACTGTGCGGGTGCAGCCGGGGAGCAGTCCAGGAGGACTTCCTGTAGGAGATAGGTTTCAAGGCAGGAACCAAGGGAGGTGAAAAGAATGGACTGGTTGAAGAGGAGCAATTTAGCCCAGACAGGAGGGATGTGCATGGACACAGAGGTGGAGAATTAGCAGTCAGTTGGGGAGCAGATCCTTCAGGGGAGGGGTGAAGTGGAAAGGTAGTAGGTGACTTGTGAAGAGGGGGTGTGCCCAGGTGTGGGTATGTGCATGCATCACAGGGGAGAGAGCCAAGAGAGTAGAAAGTTTCTGGTAGCTTCTGTGTTGTCAGGTTTTTCAATAAGAGGAAATGTGGCCCAGAGATGGGGAGGGGCCTGCCCAAATTTCCTAGCTAGTCAGAAGCCAGGCCGGGACTGAAATTCAGATCTCCCTGGTTGATCTGGGCATAAGGTCAGTGCGAGAAGACATTGGCAAATCAAATGGTAGTGGCTGAGCCCAGGAGGGTGTTAGGAGGGCATTAGGGGGACCCCCAAGGGCTCACAGCATCCTGCTTCATCCCAGCCTGGCTCAGGGTCTCAGGACTTGGTGAAAGACCCCACCTGCTCAGGGAGGAGAGAGATGTATGGAGACGGGCAGGGTAGCTTTCTGAGGACCAGGCTGCTGGGGAGCCCATTGCTA